TGTTGCTCTTTCCTGCATCCATCGCTTTCTCACCATCTTTGTCTGCCGTTCCGCTTCTTACTTTAGAGCGCTACACCGACGAGGTCGAGGGATTCACTCTCCTCAAGCCTTCCACATGGGCAAAGGTTATTCCTTTTCGATTCTTCCTTTCTATTGTTCAAATCTGTAAATTGTTTACTGTTGATAGATGGAGAAGGCGGGTGCGAAGGCACTGTTCGAGGAGGGGAAGGGGGCTAACAACATTGGTGTGGTGGTTAACCCTGTTCGGCTATCTTCTCTCAAGGAATTTGGGACGCCGGAATTTGTTGCTGAGAAGCTTATCCAAGCTGAAAGGCGTAAGGTTCTCCTTCCTGTTCTGTTTTCTTGTCTTATTTTCTTGTTTCACAATATGTTTATGCTTCTTTTTTGCTTCAGTTTGCTTGAAATATGCCGATGATGGGAAATAAGAATCGTTGATGAATTGTTTTTGAAGTGCGAGAATAGAAGTTGCAGTTGTTTTTTTGCTCGTTTTTTATGCAAACTAAGTTCTATAGCCAAATAGAAGAACACTAGGAAGGCAATGAAATACTTCCATTCAGTAAACATAAACCAACACCAACAAAATGCAACTTAATAGTAAACATTATAAGTAAATGATTAGGAAATTTTGCAAAGAAACAAACTAAAGCTTAAAATTAACTACCCTTAGAACAGCCTAAAAAGGCCATCTCACATGCAAATCATGAAAATAGAGAATGATGCTCAAATGAAAAATCAAACCAGAGTTTTTCTATAGAAATTATGATCCAGCTCAAGTTGGGGCTCCTCCGGTAAATACCAACTAATGGGGCACACCAACACCTTACCTCGCAATATTTCGAGAAGAAAGATACAAGTGGAATGACAACCGTGGAGAGAAGAAATAGATAGAAGACAAAGAATAAGAAATAAATATAGGAAGAAGATAGCTCTCAATCTAGGAAGAAAACCCTCAGGTTTGGATTTGTTTTCACCAACAACAACCCCCTTCCAACAGCAAATCAGACATACTTTATAGGAGAAGGCCCAATAGCCCACGTAAATGTGTCACACAACTAGCCAATTGCAGTCAATCAATACAACCACTTTTTGAGAAGATAAAACACTATTCTTGGAATCAGCAAGGAGGGAAATGAACGACCAGCAGCAGGGAAACAAAAGCCTACTTGGAAAACCAACAACGAACCGATATGGGATTTGAATTCAGCATGGAGATCCAACATCAGAGAATCCAAAATCAACTTGAAAAACTAACAACCAACCAACATGGGAAGAGATAGGCCAAGCCCAATAAGGAAAAAACAACCTAAAGACATTAAAAATATGTATGATGAAGCACTGATCAGTATTA